ATATATATATATATATATGTATGTGTGTGTGTGTGTGTGTGTGTGTGTGTGTGTGTGTATGTATTTATATACACATATATATATACTGTATATATACATACATGCATGCATACATATATTCATGTATGTATGGTGTTCCAGTGTCTGTAGTTGGATCACTGAACTCCAGAAAATCAGTAATGAGGAGCTTTGACAGTTACAGATTTAAAAAAATAAATAAAATGGCGGTGATAAAGAACCCTAAACTCTAACACAAAGAACCATTTCAGCATAAAAGGGTTCTTCAGGATGCTGTGGTTCTAAATAGAGCCATTACTACATATAAAGAACCATTTAAGAACCATCTTTTTTTAGAGTGTATATATGTATGTGTGTGTTTGTGTGTATGTATATACATATATATATATATATATATACATGCATACATATATTCATGTATATGGTGTTCCAGTTTAATGTATTGAAATGGGTTCCAGGACTGCCTAAAAAAATTAAAAGTTCAGTACTCGGTGAACAAGTGGTGTTCAAGTTTCATGGATATAAATGGGTTCAGTACTGTCCAAAAAAAACAACAGATTAATAATCTGAAAACCGAACCTTGTGCATTATAGGGAATAATATTTAGAAAGTACGTACAGTATATTAAACATTTGAAAAATATGTTTTCAGTACTGTATATAAAAACAATAAAGGCATAATCTGCCAAACCAAGCCTTGTGCATTATAGGGAATAATATTCGGAATATTTTACAGTTGGTTTGATACCTTTAGATCAAATGCATACATTAAAAGTTTTTTAATTATTATAAAACACATAAAATGGTAATTCCAAAAACGGAGCTTTGTGCCATAACAGGGGTGTTTTTCCAAACAATTTAGCATTGGTTTTATATTATAATGTCACGTAGTTAAATTGTTTAATTAATTTAAATTGTAAATGTTTTACACCCCCCCAAGAAATTAAGCCTTGTGCAACGTAAAGGGCATATATTATTTATGTCTATCTGAGTCAGTTTGGGCTCAAAACATAACAGCTGCAAAGAGTTTAATTGGCAAAAAAAAAAACGAATGTCTAATGAATGTCAAACGTCAAACTAACTTTACCGCCGTTGTTCAGTTCACACAGCGCGTGTGTTCCGAGAATGCGGTTGTGAGTCCTGAAAATTTACGGGTGTGAGTTCGGTTACAGAATGCCGTTGTCACGCCCGTAAATAACCGAACTGTGTGTGAACGTAACCATATTAAGGACTCAAAAACAGGACTGACAACCGTATTCTGCTGCTGTGTGAACGTGGCCATATTTCTCTAGTCTAGTGCTCCTTGGTTCCCATTAACAAACAACTACTGTACCTCTATCTAAATACTAATCTAAACTTCGTTAGGAGCGCTTAGCGAATCGGCCATCTCTGACTGGCTGATGGATTACTGCACTGAATCAAAGGGAATGTAATACTCGATCTTCCACAACTTTAATCAGATAAATATCAGTCCTGGTTCTCAGGTCCAGATGAGAACCTCCATGTTTGCCCTGTCTGATTAAATATGGCACATATTTGAAATGAAAGATCAAATGAGGTACTGTGGAGGTACCATGATACAGTGATGGGATGGTAATACCGTGGTATTTTGATATATACCATGGTACATGGTCATATGAGTGGCCAGTGTAATATTAATATCTATAGAGCAGAGTGGCCAGTGGTCAGTATAATGAATAATATGTAATAAAATTTAACAAACCGCAAATGAGATCAAAAGTTTAAGGTTGGTGAGATTTTATAATGTTTTTGAAAGACGTCTCTAATGCTCACCAAGGCTGCATTTATTTGATTACAATTACAGTAAAAACAGTAATATTGTGAAATATTATTTCAATTTAAAATAACTAATTTTAAAATTATAATTTTAAATAATCTCTATTTTACCATATTTTTATACGGAATTTATTTCTGTGATGGCAAAACGTAATTTTCAACATCATTACTTCAGTCTTCAGTGTCACCTCCAGTATCCTGTCATCCTCCAGAAATCATTGAAAACAGTTGTACCGCTTAATGTTTTTGTGGAAACTGTGATCCATTTTTTCAGCATTCCCTGATGAATAAAACGTCTATAAGAACTTTTGTTAAATTATAAATGTCTTTACTGTGACTTTTGATCCATTTATTGCGTCTTTGCTAAATAAAAGTATTAATTTCTTTTTAAAAAAGAAATCTTACTGACCTGAAACTTTTGAACGGTAGCACTGTAACAACATCTACCGGTACTCTTAAAAAAACAAAACAAAGATGCTTTCAATATGGCGGTTACCACTGTTTCCATAAAAATATTAAGCAGCAAAAACGGTTTTCAACATTGATAATAAGCACCAAATTAGCATATTAAAATGATTTCTGTAGGATCATGCGACACTGAAAACTGGAGTAATGATGCGGAGAATTCAGATCACAGGAGTAAATTACATTTTAAAAGAAGAAAACAGTTCTTCAATATTGTAATACTATTTCATTTATTTTTGATCAAACAAATGCAGCATTGGTGAGCATAAGTGACTTTTCAAAATTATTGTATTCCCTTGGTGCCACTTCTAGAACTTCTCTGTTAGTGTACCAGATGCAATTTTTAGAAGAGAAGCCAATAACCTTGGTATCTTGTGATGGTCTTTAGTAATGGTGTGGGGTGTGATGGGTTCAGGGCAGCCTCCTCCAGCTCTGGCTGTGGAAACCGCCTCTTCCCTGGGTTTGGTGGTTTTTATTCTATGCCGGTGGTCTGCAGAATGAGTAGTGAGTTGAACTGGAGAGCAGATCTAGTGTGCTAACCGACCAGTGATCCGCTCGCTCTGTGCACATACACACACATCAACTGTGTGTGAACTTCTCATCCTCTCTCTGTGGTTCTCCAGAAGCCTTTTATCACCCTGGAAAGGAGATAATAACAGGGTGAAACTGCAGGTCCTATTGATCATATAGAGGCTTGAATTAAGATTCTGTTCTCGACTCATCTGATTTCATAGTGTCAGAGTTTAATGCAGTCGCACCAGATGAATGTTTAAAGCCACAACAACGTGCTTCAGCATTTTGTTTAAATTCAGATGTACTTTCCTTTCTGATGCCTCATGAACTCTCTGTTATCATGTCACCTCAGTTTTGGGCACAATATAACTTCTACAAATTGGACTGAATCAACATAAGCCTCATGCATTATTCAGCTGGATAAGGGTGAAATAATAACACAAAACACAACTGTATTCTTTCTTTCTTTTGTTTGTTTGTGTAGATGAAGCCATAACGCCATGAAATGGTCTGACAAAGACAACTGCCTTCCCTGTACTGATGTATTAAAACAAAAAAGTTGAGCGGGACATATCAAAATATTCTTCCATTTTCTTTCAAATAGCAAATGTCCTTTCGTTTAAAGGGGTCATATGATGCGATTTAAATTTTTCCTTTCTCTTTGGAGTGTTACAAGCTCTTGGTGCATAAAGAAGATCTGTAAAGTTGCAAAGACTAAAGTCTCACAAACGCGAGTTTTGGGCAGTGTAGAGTAGCACTTGTTGTTTGTCATTTCTCCGATCACAAATGCAGACATGGTTTATATAGATCTATTTCACCAAGACCAAATACATTAACATTTGTCATGTTGTCAATCCCTCCGAGAGTTGTCATGACAGAAATATATATATATATATATATACAGTATATACTGTGCACAACGAGTTTTGTTGTAAACTGCACATTTTGGCAAATGTTGTAGGCCGTACAGGTATTTCATGTATACAGATAATTTGCAGTATACTCTACCATTGTTGTTTTATTTCTTGTTTCTTGTTTTTGGGGGCATAAAGTCAAAAATACTATGGGGATAAAACATAAAGAAGAAAAAGAAAAACAACCTCATTACTTAACCTCATAGTTTGGCATAATATTTTATTATTATTTCTGAGGAAAATATTTTAACAAAACTACTTCACTGCATATTAATATTTGAAAAAAAAAAAAAAAAAGATTAAACACTTGAACACTCGTGTTTGTCACTAACCCACCATCTTGTTCTAAACCCCAACTGACTTTCTGATTTTTATTCATTCATTTGTTTGAACCATTCCTTTCAATCAGTGTTTGAATGTGTTAAATGTGTTTCTTTCATCCCTCTGCTATCTTATGCACCTGAGAACTATCCTGTCTTTGGGCCACGTGAAGGTTCAGAAGGGTCTGAAGGCACAGCATGCTAGATTTGGCAGCCTCTCCCAGAATCACCAGTCCTAACCCACAGTCAGTCCTGAGGCGAACAGAAAACACGAAACACACTGATGTTACTTTGGGATTTTAACCTACAGTTCCACCTATAAGCTGCTTACATAACGTAAAACCTGTGGAAAGCATCTCACAAACACTTCACACACCAGTTGTCATGTTGAAGTTTATCTCTCAGCAACATAAGCTGTTTGATCACTTCAGAGAGCTGAGTGCCATTGTTTTGCACACAGTGATAGCTGAGAAGGCACTGCAGTAGTATCTGGTTAACGCCATGCTCCTGTGCCTCCACGGAGACCTGCCAATCAAATAGAGTTGGCAATTCAGTGAATCATTCAGCACTCCCTTTCTGATTTAGTTGACATAGCCATCAAACCTACATTGAATTGTCGTTGGTAAGTTTGAGACCACACAGAATCTCCGTGACGCGCACCATGAAGTGAGCGGCAAATAACATGCTGGGGAACTCTTGGTAGTGTGTCTCACACTTTAACAGCCCTGTCAACAGATGAAGTAAACTTCCACTGATTCTTGAGATATGTCCCACAATTTTACTTGCCATTAGTTTTGAAAGTAGCAACATTTGCACTTTGAAATAACCTGTCCTCAGGTCATAACTCAATACTTCTTTTCAATAAAATATAAAATATTATGTCATGTAACATATTTAAGCAAGCCAATTTCTGCCACCTAAAAATGCTTTGAATAAATGATGAATAAAAAGTAATTATTATGCGAGTCAAAATTATGATATTTAGTAATTATTACATGAAAAGTCATTTTTTAATGTCATAACTGACATTTTATGTCATTATTATTTTTGTCATATTATGACAATATATCAAAAGTTCAACTTTTTGCCACAATTATGACTTTTTCTTTTATTTTTTTTTATGACAAAATGCAGGGTTGTTATCTCATAATTAGGACTTAGTATCTCATAAAATCAACTTTTATGTCATAATTATGACCATTTATGTTATTAAAAAATTAATTTCCAAATTTATTTCATAATTACGAGTTAGTGTGTCATAATTTCAACTTGTTGTTAGTATATAATTATTATTATTTTAATGTAATTTTATGTCAAAATTTTGACTTATCTAATAATTATGAATTAGTACCTTACAATTTTAGACTTTTATGTCATAATCATGATTTACTAAGGCATGATTTGTTTTTCTTATGTGGTGAAAACGGGCTTCCATACGTATATATTAATATCTGTTAACATCTACATTAAACTTAATATTCAAATTTATTTGAACATTTATTTGAACATTTTAACAGAATATTCCAAAATTAATTCTTGGTACATAAACTCTTATTTTGCAGTATTGTAGTTTACTTACTAAAACATCTTTGTAGTGGTAAATATAAACCCAGAGATAAATATAGATATTTTATTGTTTTGCAATAATGTTTGACCTAAGACTGTCTCAGACCTTTTGAGCTGTGAAGATAGATGCTGCTTGGCCAATGTCCTTTCAAATTACCAATCAGTTGAAAGACGTACAGCATCATAGAGACTAAATAACCAGTGTAACTGTCAGCAGAACTATATATGAAAAGAAACATATAGGTTAAACAAGGACTGATATATGGGTAATTCTGCAATTACACCGAGTAAAACAGGCTTTACTTGTGTTTAGTTAGCAAATATCTGAGTGTGATTTTTACACACACACACACACACACACACACACACACACACAGAGAAGAATATAAGACATTCTGTATATGAAACTTTGCACGAAAAGTGTCTGCAATTACAGAATGACCCTTGTTTAGAGATATTTCTACTGTGTTGCATATACCTGCAGCATCTTCATCTCGTAAGAACATGGCTGGTCCAACAGAGTTGTGTCAGAGCACAGGAAGCACTGGATTGACTCCAGGTGGAACAGCACAGGGATCTGATCTGCATGAACGGGTGCGTGGTCCAATGACATGACCAGGACATCCAATGAATCTGAGAAAACTCATGGGCATCATCTGTCATTTTTCCACTAACAAAATGAACCAAAAAGTACCATGGTAATATGTTTTTGGAAATGTATGTACCATAATATTCTTAAAAGTACCTTGGAGTGTACCCATGGTATGTGAATATTGTAATTATTCACTCTTATGGCCTATAAAAGTACCATAGCATTAACCTCTAATACGTTCTGAGTACTGGAGTCAACACATGGCACACACTCTGTGACTCTCAATATGAATTCTGTAACCTAACAGATGATTCATTTGTAAAAGCAGAAACTGTCAGTCACTGCAAGTCACTGACACACCCTTTCTAACTTTTTCACTGCTCAAGCTCAGCAGGAGAAGCTGTGTCCACCAGGTCTCGGGGAGATCAACATGTTTGCCTTCACCTCCAGATGCGAATCCTGCGCGACGCTGAGGACAAAAAGAGAATCGCTGCGCTTTAGTCGAATGTTTTCATCAATGGAGGGTTGTCTCCACCTTGTGGCTGGAGAGAGTAATGCGTCAACTCATCACAACTTGTCAGACGGTCTTTTAATACATCTCCATAAAGAAGCCTTATTTCTAAGACAATTCAACCCGGATGAACAATGAAGGAAGCGTGTTTAATACCTTGCATCGACTAAGAAACTGCCTTGCAAGATCTTCATACTCTTCCTGCTCTTTGCAGCCTTGTGTTTGACTGTTGCCTTCTTTATTCAGTGTCAGTTCAATAATAATAATATACATTTTTAATGGATGGATATATCACTGTTTCGTTCTTTCGTTTTGAGGTAAGCAGAAAAATAATAATGTCATTTATTTCTTCAGATACCTTCTGACACCGGTGGCATTTCAGGAGTACCAGTTTCTTCGTTCTTTTTTCTGAAACGTTTGTTGAAATCCTGCTGTTGAGAGTGAGGCACTATTCCTAAACAAGGTTTGATGGGAATTTTGAGGACGATGCAGAAAGTCCACTCAGTGACATCCCTCCCTCTGCGTGGTGGAAATGTTGCTATGGTTACATAGTCAACAGACATTTTTAATACATGCATACAGATGAATATAAACTTTAAAAGAGTTCATTGCGGTGCACAAATTTATAAAGTCCAAAGCTACTCGCCATGAGAAGATGTCATTACGACACGAATTTAGTCATAATTGACTTTTTATCTCATAATTTAGACTTTTTGTGTCACTGTCGGCTCAGTGTTTAGATTAAGCATGCCGTCATATTGACTTTTTTATCTGACGTAATGTCGCGCATGATAAGCCGCACGCGCAGGATCTTGAGCACAGTGCCGCTGGTGTAGTGGTATCATGCAAGATTCCCATTCTTGCGACCCGGGTTCGATTCCCGGGCGGCGCACATATTTTTGTCTGTGAATCTAAACATTTCAGTGCATTTCTTTAACCGTAGAACTGTTATTCTCTTCTAAACACTGCAAAGGGTACACATAAATCACTGTATAATGTACTGTGTACAGCGCTCAGGCGCGTTTTCAAAGCTTGCTTTCTGCGCGCGTTGTAGTTCGCACGCGCATGCGCGCTTGCATTTCCGGTCCGGTTGCTCCGCCATCTTATGTCGCCTTTCCATTGTTCATAACTGGAGTCAGCCGAGGCGGCATTTCACATTTACTCTCATTATAACAGGCTTGGCGGACAACAGAGAGGGTAACAACACTGGAAAGAGCGAGGCACCGGCGGAACTCGAGATCATCTCAAAATCTACACCAGAGGATTGTTTTTTTTCCTCAGGGTTCGGTGTCTTAATTCGATCGGGAAAATATGATGGACGACGAGCAGCCCAAGACCCTGTACGTATTTTGGCATTGTACGCCAACACTTTAGACAGGCACCTTCACATCATATGAATTAATTCATGCCGCACCGGTTTAAAAACACTTTCCAGTTTTCATTATTAGTTGATAACAGTCTTGAGTGTGGTTCTAAAGGAACCACAACCACAAAAACAGACGTGTACATTTTGTGCCTCAAACAAAAGCTCTGACTGATGGAATAAAAGAGTTACATTATATTTGACGCCCAAGACCGTTAAGTTAGACACGGGACAGTCGTGTGGTTTCCAAGCATTTCGTTACCCATGTGCTAGTTACTGAGTTTATTTCGATAATTGCAGCAGGCCTGTAACTTGGAGGCCACAGCAGGGCCACTCACACTGCTGCCTGTGTTTGAGTGCGAGTGTGTGAAGTTGCCTTGTACTTGCCGAAAGCTCATTGTCGTTACAGCATTGCTAGACAAAGAGCCTGTGTAGTGTGTTCACTGAAGTGTTCATAACGCTTTACGTCTATAAATACACGCAGCCAGCGCCCAAATACAGATTTAACATGTACAAATGGTGAATTCTTTTGTTGCTGGTCGCTCATGCTGGCTGCGCGTTCTGTTTTGTCATCCCTTTGTTTCAAACCTGTATACACGATAATAAGCAGCTCATTTCCGGATGACTAATTAGGTTTTTTAAGGTTAAGTAACGGCCAGTGGGTCCTCATGCATACCTAATTCCTTTGTAATGTAAATGAGTTGGAACATCGTAACTCAGGTACTTGAATTTGGCACAGATTGCACGCAAAGACCCCTTTAATTGGTGTATCAAATTATACATTCAAATAAATGCTTCTTGTATTCAGCATGTCACTCATTGTCATTTGCTTATCCATTATTTGTTTATTTTTTTGGTCCAGGTATGTAGGAAACCTGTCACGGGATGTGACCGAGGTTATTTTAATATATTTTAAAATGTAATTAATTTCTGTGACGCAAAGCTGAATTTTCAGCATCATTACTTAGTTTTCAGTGTCACTTGATCCTTCAGAAATCATTCTAATATGCTGATTTGGTGCGCAAGTAACATTTCTTACTATCAGCATTAAAAACAGATGAAAATAAATGGTTTTCTTTTGAACTTTCTATTCAAAGAGTCCTGAAAAAAAGTCTACTTTAAAGAAAAAAAAAAAAAATTTTTTTTTTATTTTACCCATATTACCCCTTCAAATATCTAGAATTTAAATCTAGAACAAGATTATACATTAGAGGCAAATTATTAAGCCTTATGCCTATTCAGTGCAAAATATTTTATCCTCAACAGGTAATCTTTACTGTTGCTGCCACCGCTGCCGCCATGTTGTGAAGACGATGTGTGGTTCGTTGTAAAAAGCGAAACTACTTTGTTTGGTCTTCCAAAAGAGGACACGACTAGAAATCAGTGGTTAAGTTGTATTTGCAACACCGTCTCAGAACAGTTCAACCCAAATATTCAGATGTGTGCAGCACATTTTATGGATGACTGTTTACGGATTCTGGGAGTGTAGACTACAGTGCCGGCTGTTCTGACTCACAGACTGTAAGTATGTTTTCATATTTAAAGAATTTGACACTGATGATTCAACCGCGAGTTTTGAGCAGTGTAGAGTAGCGTTTGTAGTTTGTCATTTCTCCGATCACAAATGCAGACATGCTTTTATGTTTACGCGGCGCGATGCAACGTAACGTGTAAAAAGACAATATAAGTCATTATAATCCGGAATTATGTCCCCACTGGATGCAACAAATGCCTAGTCTATAATGGGTTTTAATGTTTTTGTCTCATCGCTCCGGCCGGGACACGGCATCACAGTATGTTAAGGGGCTTAACATTTCCGTCTCACGCTTGAGGTATTCAGCGAATCACAACGCACTGTATAGCTGGCCAATCAGAGCACACCTCACTTTTCAGACCGATGAGCTTTGTAAAAATCGACGTGTTTCAGAAAAGCGGGGCATAGGGGAGAAACAATAATGTACAGTATGTGGGAAAATAATGTGTTTTTTGAACCTTAAACCGCATAAACACATTTCATTACACCAAATACACCAAATAATGTTATTTTTAGCAACATCATATGACCCCTTTAAGGAGAGTGATTTATTAATAGATAAATAGAGAGCAGCAACTTGTCCATGTCTGTATCATTTGTAATATTTCTCTCAATCTTTTCCTTCCTATACCCCTCTATCCCAGGAGGTAAAGGTCAACTGGGCTACATCACCAAGCAGCCAGAAAAAAGACACAACCAGTGAGTTCCATCTTCAATTAATGCTTATAATCTTAAAAATATATACAAGTGCATCTCAATAAATTAGAATGTCGTGGAAAAGTTCATTTATTTCAGTAATTCAACTCAAATTGTGAAACTCGTGTATTAAATAAATTCACTGCACACAGACTGAAGTAGTTTAAGTCTTTGGTTCTTTTAATTGTGATGATTTTGGCTCACATTTAACAAAAACCCACCAATTCACTATCTCAACAAATTAGAATATGGTGACATGCCAATCAGCTAATCAACTCAAAACACCTGCAAAGGTTTCCTGAGCCTTCAAAATGGTCTCTCAATCACAATTAAAAGAACCAAAGACTTAAACTACTTCAGTCTGCGTGCATTGAATTTATTTAATACACGAGTTTCACAATTTGAGTTGAATTACTGAAATAAATGAACTTTTCCATGACATTCTAATTTATTGAGATGCACCTGTATATTTATTCTTGTATTTTATTGTCAGCACCAATACACCGACAAATTCCTTGTACATGTATACCCACAGTACTTGGCAATAAAAGTGATTCTGATTCCAAGTAACTCTTGTTTGGTGTGCGTTAGATCACTTCCATGTCTTTGTTGGAGACCTCAGCCCAGAAATCACCACTGATGACATCAGAGCTGCCTTCGCACCCTTTGGAAGGATATCGTAAGTGAAATGACCTGATGCATTTTGAGTAAAGAAAAGAAAAGAGTTGCATTCAACTACTTTGAGTCATTCAGTCTGTTTAAACCCCAGTAAGCCAGTAACGTGTAAGGTCATGTAAAAGGCTTGTCACCTTTTTATCAAAGAGAGGTCATTCATGAATAATGCAGAAACACATCAGCACACCTATGTTTTTGCCCCACTTTCAGTTTGCATGTATAGCCGAGTTGTCATTTTATTAAATATGACCGTGTCTGAGTATCTGTCTAGGGTTATTTAAAATCTCATATAAACTGTTTTTCTGGCAATGTCCAGATTTTTATGTTCATTTGAATGTGTAAAATGGGTTTTTATAATGAGCAGTTTTTCAGTGGGCAGCATTTATTTATTTTTTGACACTAACACATTTGTTGACTTCACCCTTACTGATGTTTAAAAGTCTCAAAGAGTTCCAGTATAATTTTTCCCAGTTTAAGCTGTCTGTTGTCAACACGCCCAACTTTTTCTCTCTTTCTCAGAGATGCACGTGTAGTCAAAGACATGGCGACGGGGAAGTCTAAAGGCTATGGTTTTGTTTCTTTCTTCAACAAATGGGTGAGTCATGATCGAACATCAGGAAATGCAGGTTTTTAACTAAGGGTGGGGAGCATCTGCATTTGAATGCACATCGCAGAAGCTTCTGTTGTGGCCATGTGCTGATGTTCTTGTTGTGCTGGTTGTTTGCAGGATGCAGAGAATGCCATTCAGCAAATGGGAGGTCAGTGGTTGGGCGGCAGGCAGATCAGGACTAACTGGGCTACAAGAAAACCCCCAGCGCCTAAACCCACCTATGAAAGTGAGTATCCATATGCTTTTAAAGACTTCTGCACGTTTTTTTTAAATCAAGAGCAAACCTTATTCTTTTTCTAACTGTGATCATGAAGCTGCAGTCTAACCCATGCTAAAAGTGTTAGTTCTGTCAAAAGAAAAGAAAATACTGTCATTTACTCTCGCCTTTATTCCAAACCTTTATGAGCTTTGTAGGTTAAACACAAAATATCTTTTGTGGAAGTTTTGCAGAAAACCGATTTATCACAATAGTAACTCCAAGAATAAGCAAAGCAAATTTTTCTTTTTCTTTTCTTTTTTTTTTTTTTAAATATGGCACATCAAGACTTGTCTCACAGGTTTAACGTTAATGATAGGACTTGCAAGAACATGTTTGGCATCATTATGTCAATCCTGGTGCAGTGTCTTGATACAAGTGACAACCGACATCTACAGAAAAAATGGACCCCAGCTTTGAATGACTTCAAAATTTTATGACAATCAAAGATGACAACGTTTAAATTGTGTATGAACTTGTATGAACACAGAGACTAATCGGCATTTCATTAATCAATTTCACAGCAAACGCCAAGCACTTGTCGTTTGATGAGGTAGTGAACCAGTCCAGCCCCAGCAACTGCACTGTTTATTGTGGCGGAGTCACTACAGGCCTTACAGGTTAATGTTTGCTGCAGGCTAAAACATTATACCTTTAATTTGTTTATCCTTTTGAGAAGCTGAACCTGGACTTTTTTGTACTGTCTCTGTAACCCTTTTGAATTCAATTCATTCACGTTTGCAATGTGCTCCTCTTCTCATTTTGATGTAGAACAACTCATGAGACAGACCTTTTCCCCCTTTGGCCAAATAATGGAAATCCGAGTGTTCCCAGACAAAGGCTACTCGTTTGTGAGGTATGTTAATGTCGTTCAAGTGAAATGTGGTGGTTACAGGTCCTAATGGTGGAGGCTGATGTAACACTCTTGATCTCTGCAGGTTCAACTCTCATGAAAGTGCAGCTCATGCGATAGTGTCTGTTAATGGCACGTCCGTAGAAGGTCACATGGTGAAATGTTACTGGGGTAAAGAGACTACAGAGATGGTGAGCCCTATGCAGCAGGTGCAGGTACCTCAGGTGAGCAGTAGTATGTTTCCATTCTGTGTTTTATTCTAAAAAGTCTTGAAAGTTCTGGTAAATATAATGTTGAATAGTGGAATGTAATGTCATGTAATGTTGCAAATATGAGAATTGTTTCCTGATAAAAAAATGCATAAATAACTCCTGGGCATGTTCTGATTTTATAGCAGAACAAAGTTGGTTTTGCTGCACAACCATACGGCCAGTGGGGACAGTGGTACGGCAACGCACAACAAATTAGTCAGTACGTCCCTAATGGCTGGCAGGTACCCACTTACGGTGTGTACGGACAGGCCTGGAACCAGCAGGGCTTCAAGTAAGTCTACAGATCAACAATGGCCTCTGTTTTGCATAATTTCAAAAGGCTACTTTCTTGGAGTCCAATTCACTGGTTTAATTACAGGGTTTCCGCAGGTCCTTAAAAAGTCTTATATTTAGTTATCAAATTTAAGGCCATAAAAAGACTTAAGTGGGACAAGAAAGTCTTAATTATAATTTCAAGAGGTCTTAAATTTGGGGACAGAAAGACAAGAATTGCGATAAGGCTGAAAGTGACGATTAAACTTCTAAAGGCTGTGATTTCATTGAATAAACATGAGCGCTGCATGTTTCAAAGTACTGCAGTGCTTTGTTTACAGCCGTTACCGTGGAAACCGCTATAGTCTGCAGTTCCAAAAGCGCCTCCTGCTGGCAGAGGATGAATTTGCATTTTCAATAAGCCCTTCTGCTATTTTTGTTCAGACCAATATGAAAATCAGCCCATGTTTTTATGCTGCAAACACGCAACATTTTAATTGTGAACTAGTGGATCGACCAGATAATTCATTATAAAAATCTAAACGATTTAGATATATTTAGATGTTATTTAATTAATGTAATAATTGATTGATAATAATTGATTAATTTAATATATTAATTGATACTTTTGGCTTACATCCATTTTCTTAAAAATAGTTTAAAGGCTGAAAAGTTAAGTTTTTCATTTGATAAAACTTTTTGTTTTTGTGGAAACCTGTATCTGATCTGTAAATCATGCCTTTTACAGTTTAATGTGTTATCATAGACATTGCCCTACCCTGCTCATATGGTATTAATTTTATTTGTGCAGGTCTTACATAATTGTTTTAGAAATGCTTGTAAAGCATTAAAATCTTTTTTTGTATTTTTAATTTTTTTATATCTGGTAGATCATTAAAAGTTTTGGTAACACTTCACAATAAGGTCTCATTTGTTAACAATGCAGTAACTGGTAACACTTTACAATAAGGTTTCATTTAAAAAAAAATCTTAATTAACCATATTAGTTAACATTAACAATATTTATATAACATTTAATGTTAGTTGATATTAAGTTCAAAACTTACTAATACATTATTACAATGTAAAGTTAATCTGTTAACATTACTTAATGTACTGTGAACTAACATGAACACTAACATTTTTATTAAATAACATTAACAAAGATTAATAAATGCTGTAAAAATATATTGTTCTTTGTTAGTTCATATTAGTTACTGAGTAACACTTTACAATAAGGCCTCATTTGTTAACATTAGTTAATGCATTAACTAACATGAACTAACAAAGAACAATATTTTTACAGCATTTATTACCTAACCTTTGTTAAAGTTGGATAATAAAAATTTTTATATTACTTCACAGTACATTAACTAATGTCAACAGATACAACTTTAAATTTTAATTGATGTGTTAGTAAATTAACTGAGATTTAGTAAGTGCTATATAAATATTGTTAATGTTAACTAATATAGTTCATGTTAACAACTGAAACCTTATTGTAAAGTGTTACCGAAGTTTTATATATTGTTCTCTCTCTCTCTCTCTCTCTCTCTCCCTCTCTCTCTCTCTCTCTCTCTCTCTCTCTCTATTTGTGTCTGCTTCACACTCTTGATGTTATAGTGGAGCACTTTCATTGCTGTAACCCTTAAAACCAGACTGACGGTGGGTTTCTGTAAATGCATGTGCCCGCTGTGCACTGTTTTCTTGATGCCACCGGGGTGGCGTTGGCACTGGTGACTTGGATTCGTCTTCGCTGCTTGTAGCTATATTTTTGTGTTCTCGTTTGTTCTGATATAGTAGTTTTCACAAATAAATAGAAATTGACAAAAACACAACATGAATTTAAATGTAATAATTTCAGGGCTTTCAAGATAAGTCCTAACACTGTAAATATAAAAGTCCCACTTCTGACACACGTCAGCCAAAAAGAAAAAAAAAAAAAAGACAAGAGAAAAATCTTTCAAACACAAACCACTGGGAAAATCATTGTCCAAAATCCGTGGGAGCCTTTTCCTTTGTACACGAACAGTGTATTTTAACCATTTATTATGTAGTATCACAGCGCTGAAGTATTAACTGTTAAGTGTCATTAAAGAATCATTTTCTACATGGCATCTCAGGGCATGCGAATCTGAAATCAGTGGCACCACACAGTAATTATTGTGCAAAGTAGTGGTAAATAGTTCAAATGAGGGGTTTCATAGATGCCACTAAACAAATTAGTGGAAAATGTGTGTAGACTCTGTGGTCAACATTTCTACTCGTACATTTTTAGTTAAATGGGAAACTTTTGAGACTGAGTACTTATGATCAAATAAAAACACCAGCTATTTTTCTCCTTATAGTATGTAGATTCAAGGTTTGTAACTGCCAAATATCGCCTCCTCCACCAGCTAACAGCTACTTTGTCTTGCAGTCACATACAGGCTGGGGCTGGGTGGCCTGGCGTGAGTGCCGTGAGTAACGGAGGCGTGGTGGAGCCTGCGCAGGGAGTCAACGGGACCGTGCTAGCCAACCAGTCCAGCATGGGCACTGCAGGATACCACACACACTGATGAAGCGACGGACAACTCTAGCACTCCACTGCGGCCACAGCAGGGATCTACACACGACCCCCACCCCATTCTCAAACACCCATCAAGATGCCTGGCCTGGGGAGGGGGTGTGCCATTTTTTCCTGACCCTCCCCACCTGCCACGTGTTATTTTCCTTTAAGACTTTAAGGCAGATCTTGCCCGTCATCGCGGGGTCTCGAGTTGCCCTACACTGGGATTAAACAACAAACGTGTTCAGACACATTAACACCCACCCACATAAATCCACATGTCTTCGGCCTGGTGTCCGACCGACTTATTCGAAGAGGACTATGCCATTTTTAAGTCAAAGTACTATAAATCAATAAAATCAACAATAACTGCAACTTTTCCATTTTGCTTTTTTTGGTTTGTTTAGAGCGTTTTCAGCTGCTGATTTTGTAATATATGAAGCTTTGCCTTTTTCTTTTTTTTGGACTTGCCATTTTAAAAGCAAAATTTTGTTGAGAGGAGTGATGACACCAATGAATCGTGTGAAACTTTTTTTTGTTTGTTTATAAAATGAATAAAATGGATGTCAGTTGTTGTATTTTTTTAATTAGACATTCAATTTCTCAAACTGAACCAATTGCAGGGATGACTGCCACATTTTTTTCCTTAAAGGCAGATGAATATTGCACAATATTAATACGTTTTCACAAGAATTTGATGTTACGCAAATTGTAGGTATTTTAAATTGTTTTGCATTACACTTTTTTTTCGAGGGCTTACAAGTATATCATTCTGTATGTAAATAACCAAACAACTGTTAGGACGCTATGTAAAGACAATTCAGATGTTGATTATGGATGATTGCTTGCTTTTTTTTTTTTTGTAGGTAGGTGGGAGGGACTGGGTGGTGAAGGGGTTTTGGGCTTCATCGCAACTATCCTTCAGCATTAGTGGATCTGTTAAATGCTGATCCATGCGGTTGTAAGGATTCTTCCAGAGAACTCATGGAGAAGAATTTGCTGCCTTGCGCTGCAACGAACATTTTGTTAGAATTGCGATAATTCTGTGTATAAAATCGAAATGTTGACTTTTTCTTTCATGAAGTATTTGGTATCAAGACAAGAAACCTGAGTGGATCAGAATTTTGGACTGTTGCCCATTGGAGTTTTAAAAGACTAGACCAATTATGTTGCCTTATTTGAGTTGATTTCATTTGAAGAAACTGATGTTAATGAAATATAGGCAGTGCCTACGAATACATTGAGACCTTGTGTTTTGAGGGATTTTTTAAATAATGTTCATCCTATTATGTGTTCTTGCTTTGTCCAATTAAAATACAGATGCGAACCAACATTTCTATCTCTCCTGTTATGTCCTGTCTGAGCTGGATGGTCTTACACTACATACTGGTGTTGCTAATTAGAAAAAAAAAAGTTTTTTTTAGGAGCAAAATTGTTGGTTGTGATGGAAATAAGTAGGTTATTAATAAAAAAAAATGTAAATCAAAATCGGCATGAAATTTGAAGTAGCAAAATAACTGAAGGCATAGTAAGAAGTTGCAAAAGGATAACGATCATGTAAAATATATATTATTGTCTAATTATTATACAAGTACTTTAAACGATCTAATGTCAAGTTACCAAAGAGAAATAATTATTTCCAGAATGTTAATGAGCTAGTAAATAATGTATGCTTTTGATTGGTCGTTCTGTGGCCAATCGGGAAGCTCGTTACAGCCGCAGCGGAGAGTCTGTTTGTAAGGAGGAATGGCGACGGTCGCTGGAGCTCTGAAGTGAAATCCTCCGCCGAATCTCACCACTGAGCGCCGGGAAAGCGCCGCTGTAGAGGCCGGCCTGTCTCTCACCATCTATCCATTCACTATCGCACACACAGCTAATGTTTAACTCAAATCAGTCCCGATGAATCGATGTCATTAGAATGCTTTGTCAATCTAATACTGTAGTACTGTATAATTGCACGTCAATTACATTTTCATATCATTTGTTCAAATGTTCAAGTATGTCTTCTGGAAGAATTAAAAAAAAGATATTTAATGAATGTTTACCGTGTTTTTGTCTTCGTTATTTAAAATTGCATCATGAAGTATGTACTAAAACTACTCATTTTAAATGTATCTATCGTCATTCATTACATAGGCTAAAGAGTTATTGCCTAGGAACGTTACAATTAGAAATTACACTAACCAAATAAAGCACAATGGTTTTCTGGACATGGTACTGTGGCAATAAATATGTATTTAGACACGTGCCAATCCAACACCAGGGTTGTTTGGCCATATACAGTGTATGTGGGTCAAAGACGAGACGTCACCATTTTTGGTGTCCGCATCAAATTACATTGACAAAAGTCATTTAAAATGCATAAAAACCATCTTAAATGCAAGTAAATTGTTTTTTTAAGTATTTAAATGGACAGGGGACTTTTGTCCCGAAAATGCCGTTTATCAGATGTCATTCAGTGTAACAAGAATAAGAAGTTATTCTGAAATCATATAACAAAACTGATAGTCATTCGGCAGTCTGACATCATTAAATGGCACCTGGAAGACCGTGTGTTGCTGCAGAAAAGTGAGTTTATTGCTCTTAAATACTTGATAATTTCACCTTTTTATGTCGTGGTAACAATAACATAGGTTACAAAAACACGTCATTCAGTGAAATGCCAAAAAACACTTTTAATGTTAGAGTTTTTGAAAAACAAGTAGATGTGAACAATTGTGATTAACTTTACTGGTCAAGTTCACTGTTTGAAATAGGTGGCCATTTGATTGCCTGAAATATTAGCTGATGTAGAAGTTTAGTCATTCATTGTAATGCAAATTCTCTGTTACACCACAGTGTCATATTACAGATAAATTAGGAATGTTTAGCATTGACAAATATGTGTTAAACTTAATAAATATTAATATGCATTTTGGTATTGTTTGATTTGATTATTGATTAATTATAGACACCCATGAACAGAGGGAGTCACTAGGCACAGTAAAAAGCCAAAAAGCTAATAAAGTAAACGTGGACCCAGTAGCTTGGGTGGCACTCTTAAAGCCTGTTCACACCAAGAACAATAACTATAAAATAACTATAACAGTAACTATGTTAGCCTTCACACCGATGAACAATAGCACTGTTCATTCTAAGCATGTGCTGCAGATTTGTTGTCAGCTTTTTAAAGTTTAATGAATTCTAATTGGCTGTCAATGCTTTTATCATTCATCAGCTGAAAAAAAAATCCAACAATATAAAAGAGATTCTTTTTTTTTCTGTGCCGTTATCGTTAGTTGTGCTGTAGAATCTGCTATTCTTTTATACAGAAGGGTTTTTTTCCCCACTTTTTTGATATATTTTTTTTATCTTTATCTTTATCTTTATCCTTACCGTATTTGGTGTGAACGTGCCTTTAGCCAGGAAAAGAGAAGGATATTGAGGATTGTAATTGTTGGAATAACAGCTTGCCAATAATTCTGGGCAGAGAGACCCCCTCACTACAGTATGTCAGTAGTTCAAGAGAGATCACTGAGGCCCACCCCAAATACTCATCCTGATAATGTAATTTATTTTTTCAAACAGAAAGTATTAATAAATGTGGAAAAAATTAATTTTTGAGGCCGAGCAAGTCAGAAACAAAGTGACAAGCTAAGCAAGCATGGCAGGGGAGCATCAGAAAAATGCTTATTATATTTCAACATCTGTTTCTGCAGTCATTTACACAGGATTATTATTAAAACTAATTTAATGACACGGATTAATACTAAAAATATTTCAGTTATGGGAACAATGGCAATGTTATCTCTCTTTTTGGCAAATCGTCATTCAGAGTAACAAACCATGGTCATTCAGTGTAACACATATTTATGTAAAAATGAAACAATATACTTATTCTGACATGTACTTATAAAAATACAAATAAGAATATATGATCATACTAAATTTAAATATATTTTAAATGATTTTCACTTCCTTACAAAAACTTCTTGCTGGCAAATTGGAAAACATAGTGGTTTGAAGGACATTAGCAAAGTGTAAAGATTTAAAATTTAAAGTTAATTGATATTTGAGGGCTGCACTGTGATGCTTAAATAGTCCTTTAATATGTCATCAAATGATTCATGTTTTAAATATGCCTAACAAGATTTTTTGGTATATAAATATTGTTACACTGAATGACATTTTAGTCATTTTTGTCTTCTGTCAAACTTGGTAAAAAATTCATGATAATAATTGTTTTTTGTTCAAAAAAATATAAACTTAAACAGGACACATTCTAATGTATGGTGAAAAAACAAAACGTAAAGCTGTATTGCACTTTTATTTTTTTGATGCTTGAAACACCCTTTTGTTTTTGACCCATATACATACGCCCCTTATAAAAAAAAAAAAAAAAGTGTCTACATATTTTGATACTACTTTTCGGTATATTTTGTAAATAGTGTAAATTGTATTGGCCTGCAGTATTCACAAGTTGCAGGCACAATAAAGAGCTGCTTCATAGCTGCTAAACAACAGAAGACATTTGCACGTTTTGTTTGCTGCAATGGATTGTAGGTAAACATCTACTTCATCCAGTGCTCTTTTTGTTTTTTGTTGTATAAAGTATCTATCTGCATGTAAGAAACCTCCTCAAATTATTCAATGTGTGAGTGAGCTGTGTGAATGAATCAAACTGAATCAAGAACAATTTCAGACCTTTTTACAAACCAGTATATGGCAATCTCGACAGTCAGACAAGGATTTACAGTAATATTTTACAGGGACACAGCGATACTTCACTGGGGTTTGTGTCTGAGTAAAAAGGCTGCACTGTACCATAATAGCACTACAGTATTTAAACAGTCCTTTGCTTACGACTCCCCCCTTGTTGATGAACAATAAAATTGTCCTGTATCAATCTCAGTTTCAGTGTACGTCTGCTAACAATGGATGGTTCTCTGGTAAACTCTGCAATACCGTTGGTGTCACAAACGGTGGTTTCTCCCGTTACTCAAACCTCCAGCAACTTGAGTAGGAGACCTCGAGACAAATGGAAGACTCCTGCATTTCTGTCAAACTTGGGCAAGGCTACGTTAAGAGGCATCCGCAAGTGCCCTCAGTGTGGCGTTTACAACGGCACCCGTGGCCTCAGCTGTAAGAACAAGGCCTGTGGAACCATC